ACGAAAAATATTTTAAGAGGAATAGACATACTGATTCACCTGTACAATTAACACACAAATACATTATCTATAACTGTAAAAAAACAAATGAAAAAAAAATACAGAAAAAAATACAAAAAAAAAAAAACACAATATAATTCTTCGAATCAAAACATATTTATAAACATATAATTAAAAAAAATAATCAACACTTTGAATCCCACAAAAAAAAAAAAATACAAAATCAACTCATTCCCAACACTAACTGCCACCACGAACCACCCCCATTCTTGCAGCTTTCGTTTACAACCAATTTTGCTTTATTTTCAATACAATTTAATTCAACAAGAACACAAAATCGAACTATCATATCTAGGGATAAATAATTCACCACTTGACAAAAAAAATCAACAATTACAGTTAAGTAACAACACAAAAAAAAAAAAAAAGTACAAGCATGGGATACAAAATACCTTTGATAGCAAAATTAGAAGATAAATTTTTTTCGCCTTTTCTTCCTCTTCCGATAGATATAAAGAGAGACTCAGCGGCGGACTTTCCAAAGAGGAAAAAAACATGTAAAAAATTGACTAAATAAACTTTTATAAAGACTATATACTTATTATTAATATATCGTTTTTTTATTTTTTATTTTTTTACTTTTCTTTTGCTGTTTTATTTTTCTCTTTTACGTTTTTCACTTTATTCTTCTTTTTCTTCTATCAATTTTTCTATTTTTTTTTTTGTTCCAAATTGACTTAAACAAAAAAATTATATTAGATATTAGATTAACCAAAAATTAAACATTATTATATTAATTTTATCGTATTTTATTAAAACACAACTTCAATTAAACAAAAATTATTTCATTCATTATTCAAAAAATTTATGTATTAACTTTGCTTCCCACAAATTTTATTACAAGATATATTTTTTTATGCAAATTTTTTTACAATAAAAATACTAAAAATAAAGAATCATATTAAACAATAAAATAACAATCCATAAAATGAGATGCTAGAGGCCCTACATATAGGACTTAGTGAAGAATGTCTAATTTGAAGGAGACATTTGGGCCCACACATCAGCATTTAGATTACTTTGTTAAAGTCCAATTCCACTCAATTAACTCAAACTGAAATAACTCACAATTTTGGATAAATTAATCCGTAAACAAGCGCCCCCTTAGGCATCCAATCCACCTATACTTAGGCAAGATCTTTTTAGATTTGTTCATATTTATTTTATTTGCATCCGATGCCTCATTTCCCTCTTTAGCTCCTTTCATTGTTAGACTTTTTTCCCTATACACCTCTCCCTATAGGCCTCTTCAGTCCAGGTCTTATGATTTCTCCAAAGGAACCAACTCGTCAGTTCGTCGAGTTGCCTTTATCTCTTGTTAGTTCGCATTGTCGATCCAAACCGTATCAACTCTATCCTTAGGGAAGAGATGATTAACCTAAACCGTCCGACCTGATTAATTTGGTTATCCGACTAGTGAATCTAGTTCAGCTAAGTTGGGGCTATTTCATCTAGTCCCCCCCCAACCCCAAAAAAAAAAAAAAAAAAAAAAACTGCTCCAAGTGAGCTTGAGTTGCGCCGAACTTGGAGTAGGGATGACGTGCATTAGGGTTTGTCAGATCATAATTGCAATTTTGAAAAAGCCTTTTTGAAATTCGACGTGTCGTATCGATAAGAGCACCTTCTCGAGTTATGCGAGGGGGATTTTCAATCTATACCATTGATCTATCATATTTACGAGGATCGATAATTCATCTTCCCTCTATAAATACTTCATCTTGTTGGAGTATACTATAAAAGCTCGGTTATGGTTAGCAATTATATTTTGAATGCGCTTCGTGCTATTAGTCAAGTGTGGTAACGTCAAACACTCCGAACGGCTGGAAACCGACTCACCTTCTTCTTCTTAGCCGGTAGAACGCCGCGTACTTGAAAAGAACTCTCACACCAGAGGGGTTTTCCGGTGAAGAGCCTCTTATGCTTAAGTCAGTGTTTGTTCAATTCAATTCTCAAGAGTATAAAATAGATAAATCGTGCTCAAGAAGTAAAATTCACCCTATATATAGGGTGAAATTCTTGTCATAGGAGCTGCCCGGATTTAATGAGCTGGCTCTCCAAAAGTTGTTCGTCCGTACACATACAATATGCGTGTGTCAGAAACAGTTATTTAGTGGGGACCATTCGAGTCGTGCCACATGTCCTCTGCACATGGGATAAGGATCCCTTCGTATTCTCCTCGAAGGATCTCATACATAACTATATACAGGTCGATCTTCGGACTATTCTCAGTCTACGAGGTGGTCGAACAGTGACCAACTACTCGGCAAGTTGATATTCGACCAGATCCTCCGTGGATCTGAGACCAATCTATTCATCCCCTACTGAGGTCTTCTGCATATTGTTCTTGTGATGTTCGACCAACATCATTTCTTCGACTTTATTCGATCAGGTCGCTTGCACGGTATGTTCCGACTCGTTAAACCAGTTGAGTGAACCGATTCGGTCCTTTAAGTATAATATCTTATATCATCTAGTCCCCACACTCTGGTTGAGTCAGAATGACTCGATCCAAGAGTAGATTCTCTTCTATCCTTCAAATCGTTGCATTTCCCTCCATTTATAGACCGTCCGATGAGCTTTCATCTACTTCTCGACCCTGCTCATTTTTCTTTTCGACCGTCACTATGAAATTCAATCTCGCCACTTGTCCTATCTGTCAAACGCATCAATCATATGTCTCTTTGTGATTTGCGCCCCTTCGCAATCCGTGTCCCTTAAATGCTCCCAGTCGTTGGATTTCACTTTTTAATCCAACACTTACTTTTCTCAACTCTTCACCTTGCCTCAGTTGTTCAGTTATAAATACCCATACTTATGAATTTTTTCACCTCTTCTCACCTTTGCAAATTTCCAAATACTCGCACTATTTTCTCTGCAAATCGAGCCTTCGAGCCTCTTGCATTCGGCGACTCCTCTCCTTGCAACTTCGATTCTCCAGCGACTCTCCGCATCCACCACCATGAGTAAGTTCTCAGCAACTTGAATTTGTAATTTTTGTTTTTAGTTTTCTATTTTCTTGATTTTAAACCCTTCTTTTCAAAATTTCACACGCGCCCTAGTTGCAAAAATTCCCCTCTATTTCTTTTTTTTTTTATTCTTCCTTAAAACGCTAAGAATCTTCCCTTTGACATATTTCTCTATTATCATTTAAGATTCTTCTACTTCCAACGAGAATTATCATTACTCCGACAAGGATATGACCTCTCCGTCATCATCCTCGACTCCCCGACCGATACCTCATTCCCCTTTCCCGCTCCGATGAGGAGATTTATCAAGCAATTCCTCTCAACGTGCTTTGCCCTACCGATTCTGCCTCACCTCCTCCTCCTCCTCAACCTTCTTGTCTGATCGATGAATCAGACGAGGATATCATCAACCATATTCCTCTCCGATCTCGACCTGCTTTCAGCTCCTCCGATGTCGCCGAGGCAGCTATCGACGAAGAAGAGGATCATGTTTTTCTTTCTCGCCGTGTTGTTCTTCCTAAACCCACCATCTCGAGCAAAACCCCAACAGCCAAAGCTAAGTCCCCATCTTCAACCATCACGACCTCTTATAAACCCTCAAAAAAGAAAACATCGACCAAGCCTACTTCATCTAAAACCTCAAAAACCAACCCTTCTAGTCGTAAGACTAAGAAAACTCCCTCAATTCCTCATTTAGCCGGGTGGTTGGATCTCAACAAAGTCGGTCAACCTCTGTGCTGGGCGTTCATCCAGCCTGTCTCAAATAACACCTATGACTATCCGCCCCAAAATTGCTATAACTTTTTCAAAATCCATTTTGACCTGGATATCCGCTTACCTTTTTGCCCCGAACTGGTCGAGATATGTAATTGTTTCGGTCTTCCATTAAATCAACTTCCTTTTAACTCCATTCGTTCTTTGACCACCTTTCTCATCATTTCTCATGTTTGCCTAGGTCGGTTTGGCCTAGATTTTTTCAGTTATTGCTATACGCCATCCAAACAAGCCCAGGGGCTGTATTTGAAAAGCCGAAACGACGCACACTTCATCTCTGACATCCCTTCGAGTTGCCCTCGCTGGAAGGAGAAGTTTGTGTATGTTGATCCCGATGTCGATTTCCCATGGGAGTCGACCCCTTGGCTCTCTGAGCTTCCTTTCGAGCTTGAAAATCCTCTCCAAGATCCTCTGTTCGACCAACGCAAGCGGTTTGAAATTCCAAACATGTTTCCTCGACCACCCTTCTTAAGGACGACAACATTTTACACTTTGCGGTTTACTTAGCCATATATCCTTATCTTCCCCTACCCATGAGACCCTTGATTCTATTCGAGTAGAGGGCATCCCGGGTAATGGTCGACCATTGTGCTTTGCAAATACGTGTTATTTGATATTTTGCTAACACATCCTTGTGATTTTCCTTTTGGAGAGATGCATGCTATTTCTTTGCCAAGAGGAGAGTTCCTCTAAAAAGAAATCTGCTAGAAGTCTCTGAAAGTTTTAATTGAATACACTTGAATTATGAATGTTTTAAAGAGCCTCTAAAAATTTGAATACACCCCTTAGGTTGCCAACTTGAATTATAAATGTTTTAAAAAGCCTCTAAAAAATTTACTCAAGAGCGCTTGGATGAGATGACTTGAGTCTTTTCCAACTTAACCAGTGGTCTCGAGTTCGAGCCCTGGGAATGCAGCAGTGTTAAAACTCTTGAGGGAGGAAAGGTCCATGTACCAAAAAAAAAAAAAAAAAAAAAAAAAACCCTCTAAAAATTTGAATACACCCCTTTAGATTGCCAAGGCGGCGGACCCTGAAATAAAAATGGGATATTTTCATTTCTTCTATTAATTTTTGGCTCCAGAATTTATCCCTCGTTCCTCCGTTACGTGAAGCAGAGTCTGACACGATTATTTTTCATTCTCTGCTATCCTTGTGCTTGTTTTTTTTTTTTTTTTTTTCTTCCTCTCGTGGACGGAAACAATGGTGGTGGGCGTTCTTGCTCTGCAAGGATCTTTTAACGAGCATATTGCGGGTACTCTTTGTTTAGCTACCCAAACCCTTTCCCAAATCTTTTGCTCTTAACATGTGGAATACTTTTTGCATGTGGTCGATTAATGGTTGTGTGAGTGCGTATGTCGATTGTTGTTTGCAGCGCTGAAAAGGTTGGGAGTGAAGGGGGTGGAGGTTAGAAAGCCGGAGCAGCTGCAGGGCGTGAAGGCCCTCATCATCCCCGGCGGCGAGAGTACCACCATGGCTAAGCTCGCGGAATATCATAACCTGGTCTCTCTCGCTCTCTGTCTCTCTCTCTCTCTCTCTATGGTTTTTCCATTGTGAAGTTTGGTCTAAAGAATTTGCGTGCTTGTGGCTTCTCTGTGATATACTTTACATGGTTTGAACTTCACCAGCATATTTGATACACTGTGATAATACTCGTTACTCGTTCACGGAAGATGGTTTGATGCAGGAAAGGAATATCTCCAGACTACATTTTCACAAAGTTTAGTTTTTTTAGCCCTTGGTGAAGCGCTAAAATCAGTGGTGTTCATCAATGGAGGTTTTATCATTTACACATCTCATGGTATTGGAAATGTAATTGGATTTTATTGTTACCACAAGGCTCTAATTTGCACAGAACGATTGATAGAAATGCAAGATCCCATTGGATGCGGGATAGAAGTAAATTCCGTTATATCACTGAGAAACAGATCTTATGGGCTAAGAAGAGTTCCATGAAGCAATATGACATTGAAGGAATCTCTAAATTGTGTGCAAGGTTGGCCTGTAGAATATTAAATGTCAGGTTCAGAAGCCCTACTCTGTGACAATTATCTCCATAGAAGCTTTATGATGAAGCATTTACTTCATGTTGTAGCTTATGCACTCCAAATGTAGTACTAGCTTACTAGGTATGAACATAAATCTTATAGGCAGGTTCAGAGGAAGTTTACTTTAGATCTTTCATTTCTTACAATCATGATGTTAATAGTAGTAACTCAAGTGGCCTTGATTTAGGTCTGTAGAGAGTCGGGAATGACAGTTCAGGACAAAAGTTAATCTGGTTCAAAGAGAATCAGTTGAAATCTTTTAGAGGGTTTCATACTGAAGAGAAAGGCCAAACTTTTCCCTGTGACTTTGTTGCTGTCTATCTATCTGCTGGCTGTTTGATGAAGATTTCATTTTCTCATAATACATCTTTCTGATTGTTAAGCTCTTAAATCGAGGGATCTACCCAAGGATTTATATTCCTTCAAATGTTTAGAATACTGTTGCTCCCATTGGCTTGGCTTTTTTTTTTTTTTAATCCTATAGCATACTCCTTGAAGTGATGTCCAGTGTGCTTTTTCGATGGTAATTGCTCATGGTTAGAAGAAGAATGAACATCATAAGAAGGGATATCAGCATTTACGGTCTATAAAGAAAACTTGGCCTGCAGTGATTAAAACCTTTCTTTTGTATGCAGGAAATTGAGCTTAAAACTCTCAACAAGATTGAAGTGTTCAGTTATCCACTCCTATGAAATGAAACAAATCATCAGTTGTAATTAATGCAATAAAATCCTCGACAGAATCGAAGATACCATCGACCCAATAATGTTAATAAATTTTTTAAAGTATGACATGCTGTCTCAGATGATGCCTTACATTTTTTGAGTTATACTCTGTGGCATTTGAAACTGTGCATGTCATTTGGCTATGTTCATCCTCCTTTAGTTTTTTTAACCACATTCAACTATCTATTTCTACGTTTCAGTTTCCTGTAAATTGTAATCCTGGCTATCCTGTGTAATGCATATGTATCAGTAGAGATGATTGTTTTCTTGCTCACTCTCTGTCTCTCTTTTCACGAGTGAAGTTTCCTGCATTGCGAGATTTTGTGAAAATGGGAAAGCCAGTATGGGGAACATGCGCTGGCCTTATTTTTCTGGCCGATAAAGCAGTAGGTAAGTATTAATTGCCACGGGTTGAGTAACTTTAACACTTTAGCCCAATTCAGTTGGTACAATTCCCTCTGAGACTTTTCTAAATTGTGTTTCTGTTATTTTCGGTATGATTTCTTCAATTGTGTTTGTTTTGAAATTTATCTTAAATTTCTTGCAGGCCAAAAAACAGGTGGACAGGAACTAATTGGTGGCCTTAATTGTACAGTTCACCGGAATTTCTTTGGCAGTCAGGTAGGTAACATTTCTCTGATACCAGACTAAATGAGTGTTACTAGAACTCACTCGGAATGTTTTAAACTTCTTGACGTCACTATATCATGTGCTTATGTGGTGTGTCGAGCTTGTAAGATGTTATCTAAAGAATAAAAGCGGTTGAAAAGAAATCTGGAGGGATAACAGATTTTAGTTATATCGTTTTGTGATTCATAATCAAAACTAGAAAGAAACTGATCGAGATCTACAAACAGTTTTAGGATCTTCCTTTTTATACTTCTATCTTTTTTTGGAGATTATATTATTATCTCATAAGAAATACTTAAGACGTCATATGAAATCTCAAAGTCTTTTGTCTTTTGTGTTTTGAAATTATGAGTTTAACCCAAGCACTCTATTGATAATAAGGAAGGAAAAGTATCTAAAAACAGCTGTTAACCCAAAGCAAATGCTGTGATGATGAGTATAACATTGATATATAGGATGAGCAAATGCGTATGGACTTTAGAGCTCATGACTCGTTAAGATCAAGCTTATTATTAATATGTTCTTTTAGTTCTTCATCCTCATTTTTGTTCCTGAAAGATTAGTAGTAACAACTTTCATTAGCTCAAAGTACACTTGTGGTTGTTGACATGTTATTTACATAAAAACTTATAAAGCCTGTTGTTTTATGTATACCTTGGTCTTCACTGGGGCTAAAACTTGCTTTTCGAATCTCAGCAATATCTAGTAATTTTGAATATGAACTACGTGTTGATTGACTGTAAACATTATAATCCGGAGGCACCTTTTCACCAACAGGATGACAGATACGTGTCTCAGATCATCAATCATTCATTTTTCCTTATTTCCTTAGCGACTTTTGTCTATAGTTAAATAGTTTTTACATTAATGAAATGTTACCATGTCAGATTCAAAGTTTTGTGGCGGAACTTTCTGTTCCAGAGATTGTGGCTAACGAAGGAGGTCCTCCAAACTTCCATGGTGTGTTCATCCGTGCCCCTGGAATCATTGAAGTAGGTTCACAAGTACAGGTGTTGGCAGAAGTTCTTGTTCCATCTGAAAAAGCTGCTAAATCAAATCCTACCGATGAAAGTTTAGAGGTTTCTATATTTCCCCACTCAATCTTTTTCCAGTTTTTACAGATTCAATTTTCAGCTTTTGATGAAATTATTTGTCACATGAATCTGGTTTACTGTTCTTCTAATTGAAAGCTGGAGAATATACAGTATTCTATATGCTCCAATCTCTTAGAAACTTAAATGCTGTGTATTCATCTTAGACTTTGAGTAACATTTTAAGGCGTTTTCACATCCAAGAATTCATTTTTTATTGACATACTTAGAAATCTCAGGTCTAGAGATGAGATTTATAGAGTTTTAAAATTTTCAGTAAGTACATCAGGATTTTTAAAATCTCAAAGTCTTAAAAATTCTGAACGAATACACTCACTGTACATCTCTTTAGCATACCTTGACATTCGTGTCTTCGTCTTTTTGAATGCGACACTGTTTTGTGCATGTCTTACTCTTATAACAACTTGAGCTCTCTCTCTCTGTGTGTGTGTGTGTGCGTGTTTATTAGTTTGTATGGTCATTCTTGGCACTCCTGTGTTGCATATTGTCCTTCATTATCTTTTTCATTCAGTGCCAATATGCATAATAGATTCTTCATCATATTATAGTAATAAAATAGACTATAAGAAAACACACAGTAGGTTGGACCACATCCAAACAATAAAAGTCAAATTTGAAGACATTGCTGTTGGCCTTGAGAGATTTGGGCTTCCCAATTTTTTGCTTGGAATATGTCATTGTTTTGTGTGCATCTTCTGACGATCTCTCACATTGTCTGAAGGCAAGAGAATGTCTAATTTTCTTGTCATTCATTTTCATTTAAAGCAAGTTTCATACTGGTTATTTTCCATGCCGAGGCAATGACTTTGTGCTTATCACTAGTAAGAAAGTGGCTTGTGGGAACAAAATTATTTGTCGGGTGGCCTGAACTAATAATCACCATTGTCCATATAAGTAAATTATGTCTTGGTGACCTTTGAGAGAGTCAGTGCTTCCGACTTTGTGAATGGTTCATGTGCGTAAGTGATCCAGGTCATCAGTAAAGGTATAGAAGGTTTAATTTTTCATGTCATACCTTGAGCATTGAATTTTTCCCCTTTTTTTTCCCAACATTTTTGTGATTGGACTCAGCTCCTTGCTATAAAGTGTTCGTCACTGGTTGAATTCGGAGCGGTAGGAAGGTGTCATTAATTTCTCACCTAAAAACATACTCCCTCCTATTCAAAATAAATGTCGTTTTGACTTTTTTGATTCATCCATTTTGTTATGTATCTAGACATATTTATGTCTAGATACATAACAAAATGGATGAATCAAAAAAGTCAAAACGACATTTATTTTGAATAGGAGGTAGTATGATTTATCATTTTTCATATTTGGTGTATTTGTGAAACCTCAATATGTCATTTATTGATGGCTATCACGACTCATTGTATTGGCTATTCTTTTAACAGACAGTGTTGCACCACTTTCTCACCAATAGTATTTGTGAAAATATGTATGTACATGCACACACACTCATACACACATCACTATATATCTTACTTTAGTTTATATTCTTTACTCGTATTTGACATTTTAGGTTAAGCCCTCATCCACAACAATCGAATTCTGTTATATTCTGCAGACGAATAGTAATGTTCTCCCATGGTCTGCACTACCTTGATGTGTGATGTAGGGAAAGAGCGTGAACGAATGGGAAAAATACAATATGAGATACTCTCTCGAACTTGGGATACTCTCCCAAAAGAACACGATTAATTTTTCATTCTCAAATTCAACTCCAATAACAAATCATAGTTGCCTTTTAAATAAACCTGTAACCCTAAGCTCAGCTTATTCCCTAAGCTACTACTAATTATTAAATAATAATAATAATAATAATAGTAATAATAATAATAATAACAATAATACTTATATTTCTTCTGCATCATTCTCCCCCGATTGAGCAGAATTCGCCCTCGAATCCGACCCGTGCCTGTTGGAGAAGTGTGTCCTGCTTCGTCCTCGATCAAACACGAAGCTTGAAGAACGCCCAACCACATCGAAGGTAAACATAAGCGTGGGCAAGAAATGAGCTAATGCAAAGACACACGTACATGCCTCTATACGCATATTCCACAGAGTAGAATGAACATCAAACATACCACAACGGTCGCCACGCTCAAATTCATAATAATGGCCCACCATCTCGTTGACGGGAGATTTCACGATACACAAGTGGAAAGCAGACCACAAGGGATTCATCTTCGGCCCCCAAAAACCATCTTTGGCTAAGATGTCCCGAAAATTGGGTCCAAATGATGGTTTTTCGGGAGAAGGGTCAATCGTGGCGATGTCCCACGTGGAGCTCAAAGTGTCGCCCCTATGTGTCTCCGGCACTGGAGGCTCGTCATAAAAAACCGGCGGACCATCGTAAATTGGCCCGTCAACGTGATCCTTGTAACTGTCAAGAATGTCTGCACGAAACGGGCTTACCCGATGACCAAATTCGCGGCCAAAATCCCTCTGAACAAGCCCATTCTTTGTACCCACTTCACATGCCCAAAAATATGGAAAAATGCTATCCAACCCATGGGCCAAATAAATTGAATTGTGCTGCGGTCCTTGCGCATCCCCCCAATCGTCCCATCGCTGCACCTTTTCCACGCCTCTGTGAAAACCGAAAAATTGAGCACCTCTATGCCCAACCTCATTACTGCTGACTCGCCGCACATCGGCCCTGCGTGGAGGTCTGTCGAAAACAGCACTCCACCGTAAGTCCTGATTTTGGTCCCTCGATATTTCATCATAACCAACACCGGTCAACGGTGGCAGTGGTGATCGTCGGCGGGGCGCCCCGCCGTAACCTCGACCCCCACGACCTCCGCGTATCCCTCCGCGATGGCCCCGGTCAGCCCCTTCGCGTCTCGCACGAGTCTCTTCCATCATGGTGTTCATGGCCAAGCGAATCTCCTCAATCCCCGACGAGAGGTCCGTGAATCGGTCGTCCACTCCTTTGGAATCGCTCTTCCATACGTTGGAAACGATCGTCGACGGTGTTGTCTCTCTTAGGCGGCATCGTGGATCGTCGCTGGTCTCTGGATACCAACTGATGTAGCGAGAAACTGAACAAAAGGGAAAATACAATACGAGATACTCTCTCGAACTTGGGATACTCTCTCGAAAGAACACGATTAATTTTTCATTCTCAAATTCAACTCCAATAACAAATCATAGTTGCCTTTTAAATAAACCTATAACCCTAAGCTCAACTTATTCCCTAAGCTACTACTAATTATTAAATAATAATAATAATAATAATAATAATAATAATAATAATAATAATAATAATAATAACAATAATACTTATATTTCTTCTGCAAATGTGTCTAGTAGAATCTACATGCCAGGAACATTTATATTGATCTGGCAGATTTCTGTCATAAGTGCAAATCCTGACTTATATAAATTAAATTCCTATTTGGGAAAAGACATATTTTTGGAAACTAGCTTTTTATGTGAGTTTAGTCTTGACCAACTTCAAAATGGTTTATCATGTATTGGTCTGCTAAGATTAAAAAAGCATTGTTAACTTTTGTCGACAAAATATGTCTACTAATTGCTCTGACCATCAAACTAGCAGATGATGATTGTGAGTGCTGTCTGTGAATTCTTCCTGAAATTCCGTAGCTAAAGCATCTCCAAATGTCAATTCATCGACGGATCACCATTATCTTTAATAATCCTCTTACACAAGTTACTTATGAGTTTCCCCATTTAGTATCTTATTTTTAGGCCAATTTTCTCCAGGATAATACTGGATCTGGAAATAAGGTGATTGTTGCTGTTAAGCAAGGGAACTTGCTAGCAACTGCTTTTCATCCCGAGTTGACTGCCGACACCAGATGGTTTGCTTCCTTTTGTTTCCATTTCGAGTTTCTATTTTTCCTGTGTTTTGTGAATTATTTTATGTGTATGTTTTTCCTTTAGGCATAGTTATTTCTTGAAGATGATAAACGGGACCAGCGAAGAAGCATCAAGCAGCACGTCCTTGCATGCCAAGGATGTGGACCTGTCCGAGACATCCAAGTTCGATCTCCCAGTATTTCAACAATAACGAAGAAAGACAAATCCAGATGAGTAAGTGCATGAAATCGATTATCAAATTTCACAGTACTTCCAAAATAGGTCAGGAGCCAACAAAAAATTCTCTGCAGCAACCGCCACTCTCAGAAGCACATCTCTTTTATGCATTGTTTTAGTAGTTTTTATTAGTTCTCTGGTTTGCTTGCTGAATATATTGTACAATGAAAAAGTGGTTTTGAGGATCAACAGATATTTCACTGTTTGTGGCATTATGAAATCAGTGTCGGTTCTCCCAGAAGTATTTTTGCAGAATGTTTGAATTTGTTTGAGTTCAATTACCCTTGACAAACTCCAAAAAAGTTGTGAATAAGAAATTTGTTGAAATGATAAGTCTAAAGAGTGATCGTATTAGTTTTGCTTCAAGATACTGTCATTCGACATTCTTCCTAAGGTTGAACATTGGGACGCGTTTGGCAAGTGAACATTATGTTAAATACTGTGCCGACAATCCTACTGGCAAGCCATCGGTATCATCAGTACCAGTGTTATCAGTCTGAACCCAAAAGTTCATTGTTTGATTAGTCCCTTTGTTTTGTATCAGTATTGGCAAATTGCCTGTTTAATTATGCAGTGGTTCTCACAAAAAGGTCATATCAAGAATTACTTTTTTCATTATTCTTTAGCACCATACGTAGTCCTCCGGCCATATACATGGCCATCCATACAAGACAATCGAAGGATACATCAGAGGATTTAATATTTCTATGACAATTTGCCCGACAAATTTTTGTCCGAACAATAAGCTTCAACAGCTAAGCTTTTTGTAACCCCTGCACAAGGATCACCAAAAGTATCCACTGAAACTCCAATTTTGCAGCTTCTTGAACCTATGCAAGCCTGCAAAAAATGTAAAAAACATTTGTTTTAAGGATGTGATGCCCAAGAATCAAAATTAAGGAGAAAACCCTAATGTTCTTATGAATTTGAAGAAGAATTTGAAATGTTTTACTCTTTTGTTTTATATTTTCCTCTGTTAAATGTAAGATAACACAAAGCCTCAGGAGTATTTTCGCAATAATGAAATGCATTTGGAATTTGTTTGATCCTCAAGGGCACCTTTTTCAAAGTAATCCTCAAGAAATATTATTTTGATAAGAAGTAAATATAGAGAGAATTTCAAAATTCGGAAACCTGCTCGACAATTGAACGGGCCCTCCCGCTACTGCATTGACCATGGCTAAAACTCCCACATTTGCCACTTGGAGTTCCATAGCTGGCAAATTTGATTCTGGATATCACTTGATCGGGAGAAGGGCATCCTAGGGCAAGAGTAGGTCCAAGTGTCTTCCTCGTTTCATCATCCGAGGATGTCCAGATATCCACCGGAACCGGATGAGACTCCGAAACATGGGAGCATACGGTTTGAGTCTCTCTAGTGGCAAAAGAGAGTTTTGTGGGATCCCCACCTACTTCCTCAAACAACACCAAGATGTTGCCAGTTGGCTTAAGCCACGAACGAGGAACGTGATAGCTGAAAAGAATACCCTTCACGTTACAAAAAATATCTATCGAAGTTACAAACAGGGATAATTACAAAAACCACAGAGTTTTAAGATGAAGTTCAGGGTGTAAGTAAATGAGACCCACAGATGGTTTAAGATTTACTAAAAAGCACATAGAGTTTTGATTCAGTCTATGTTCACCTGCATATGCAATAACATATCAAGAACCCCTTTACAGTCAAAATACTACAGTTGCCACCTTCAATATAAGTAAGAATCAAACCTCAAGCTTTTTAATTCTGTTTTCTATACTAATCGAAAGAAGGCGAAACAATGAAAATGATGGTAATGTCAAAGAAGATTTTTTAATTTTTTAGTTTTCTTTTTGAAGTGATTTTAATATTTCTTTGGGTCTTTTTGTAGTTAGCATAAACTCATTTTTTGTAACTATCATTGACCCTTCAGGTTTGCCTCCTTTTTATTTTTTTCCTGAATAAGATGCAATTTCTTACAGCTGCTGAGATGGTTTTCCGCAATTCTTGAGACATTTGTTGGATTTAAAGGGTCCCTTGTAATTGCACGGGTCAGTGCATCCACTATTTGGGGAAATATAGGTGGGCCAATAACGCCCGATGCTTCGACCGTTTATCCATGCCTGACCTTTCCCCATTCCCGTCAGGTCTAAAGCGACTGGGCTGTTACCAGAAAGTGCATCAATAGTTGTCTGCATCAAAGAAGACGACAAGGAGTTGCTTTCATCATTTAACTTCACCACACAACAATCTTAATTACTGGCCTCTACAGCATAAAGTTACACCAAAGAGAATAAAAGACACAAAAGAAGGGTCAGATTTTTCTCTTTCATCCATTTTTCTTAAGAGAATAATTACCTTGTACCACACTAATGGTTGATTCTTAGGCAGAGTAGGCTGTGATGCCCAAAGGGAGGAACTTCCTGCAGACAGTCCCAAGTCCTCTCCTTTTAAACCAACCTATTTCACAGAACGCCCATTGAGGAAAAATGAAAAACCAACTGTTTTTCAGAATTAGGAACTTCCACTCGAGATTGAAGTCATCAAGAGGGCTACTAGAATACCAAAAACAAACATGTTGCAATGCCTTAAAAGAGCATATGTAATTTGGAAGGTGTACCAAGATCCTTTTGTAATTAAGGTAAACTCAAGGGTAACTCGTAGTTATCCCTAAATATACAGAGTTTTTGCGTTACCTGATATGTCCACTGCTGGGAAGACAGATCAATACTTGATCCATTTTGCGAGCCTCTCAACTGCACGCCACTAACTCCTGCACCCTTTCTATCATAAAATGCTCCATAGTTCTGATTATACAGACAATTTCATTAGATAAAACCTATCAAAATAGTTAGGATAAAGAATTGCATCAGACAGAAATTTATACCTGCAATCCTACTGTCACACTCAAGAGATCAATCTTGTTTTTTCCCTGTTTTAAAGTTGCCGGAACATCTATCGAGACTTTTTGGTTGTTGCTTCCCCCTTTCCCACTCCCTGTAAAAGAGAAAACATATTTTTTAACAGCAAAGTGGTTGCAAACTTTTTTTTTTTTTTTTTTTTTTTTTTTTTTTTTTTTTCTTAGAAAGGCGATCCTGAGCTTTTCTTAAAATATTTGTAATTTTTAGTATTCGAATGCCAACTCCTATAGCTAGTACGGAAGTATGTAATCAAAGTCTAACAGCAAGAGGGAAGGGCACTTTATGCAATTGCAAGCTATCCATATTATAATAGCAGGTATATACTCCAATCACCTGCAAGTTTCCCATTGATAAAAGCATACAGAACATGGCCTAGAGAATCCACATGGACTGTTTGGGACCCATCTGCTTTCGCTTCAAAGCTGAAACAATCAAGAAATTTAGAGCTTAATGTTCTCGTACCAAAAAAAAAAAAAAAAAA